AATTCTAATTGTATTTCTTCATTCTAATTGTATTTCTTCTAATTCTATTCTTTTTTCTTCTATCTTCTATAGGATTGAATAGACCCGCGGTTCGATTGATGTAGTTGCTATGCTTAGTGTGCGACTCGTTGGGTTTTTATTTTAGGGTCAGGGTTAAAAAAAAAGGACTGACCTGTACTATGAACTAAAAATATAAGTAAGTATGCAACTAATAACCAGCCCAGCGCTTTGTAGTATCTCGATCCAAAGAAATTGTCAAGACATGATATATTAGCCATATCATTGTAGCCATTGAAATTCTTTTTGCACAAACAAAAGAAAAACCAATCTGATTATGAGTTGTAAATCAAAATATAAAATTAGATAGATAAGTGGAAGGGTGAAAGAAAGAGAGAAAGAGAGAAAAAGAATATCAATGATATATGATTCTAATATGTAAGGTCTATGAGTCATCACATAAAAATTATAAAAATTAATGTAATAAAGCAGCAATACCAATTGATTTATAATTAAACTAATCTGTTCATACTGTTCTACTAAAAATAAAAAAAAAAAAAAAAAGAGCCTCGAGTCAATAAAGACTAAGCAGATTGACTCAAAGACAAGCTTCATTAGAGGCTCCATTGTAAAATTAAGACCTAAGCATTAATGAAGAAGCGATGGGAACGACGGAACCTATAATATTTTATTGATTTATTGAAAAAAAAATCATAATAATTTTTTGCTTTTGGCGGGATAGCGAAAGGTACCAGAAGACTAATTTAGTCTGAGAGATCATACCCAGACTATCTCTACAAATGAAATAAATATTGAAAGAGTCAATATTCGCGCGCGAAGTTTTTTTATATTCTAAAGTAGAATTTTTTCTATTAGAATTATGATATCAGAATTATGATATCAGATTGCTCAAATTTAGAAATCCAATAATAGAAAAATAGAAAAAAATAAGATTATGTAAAATAATGCAAAACAAAATAAAATAGAAAAAATTATCTATAATAAAAATTATCTATAATATAATAATATAAATAATAATAAAAAAAAAAAGGAAAAAATAACTATATAAAAAAATAACTATATAATAAATAATAACTATAACTACATATATATAATATATATATATAGTTATATAAATTTATATAGTTATATAATATAGATATAATATAGTTATAGTTAAAATAGAAAATATATATAATAAAAATTTCTATTCTACTAATCTAATCAAAATTCTAATAAAAATACTAATCTAATAAAAAAAACTAATCTAATAAAAATAGATCTAATAAATAGATTAGATTAAGTAAATAGATTAAGCGTAAATAGATTAAGCGAAATCTCAAAGAATTCCACGATTTAGTATATTATTTTATTCAGCAAACGCATGTATATTTTTTTTCTTTTATCATTTCATTCGCGAGGAGCTGGATGAGAAGAAACTCTCATGTCCGGCTCTGTAGTAGAGATGGAGTGGCTGTAGTAGAGATGGGCTTGAGAAACAAGCATCACCTACAACCCCCAAAGGCCCCGATTCCGCAAACAGCATAGAGGACGAATGAAAGGAAAAGCTTTTCGAGCTAATCGTATTTCTTTCGGTAGATATGCTCTTCAGGCACTTGAACCTTCTTGGATTACATCTAGGCAAATAGAAGCGGGGCGACGAACAATGACACGAAATGCACGTCGCGGTGGAAAAATATGGATACGTATATTTCCCGACAAACCAATTACTTTAAGACCTACGGAAACACGTATGGGTTCGGGGAAAGGATCTCCCGAATATTGGGTAGCTGTCGTTAAACCAGGTAGAATCCTTTATGAAATGGGTGGAGTAGCAGAAAATATAGCGAGAAAATCTATTTCAATAACAGCATCAAAAATGCCTGTACGAACTCAACTCATTATTTCGGTATAGAACCAAAGGAAAAAGACCTTGGGGATGCCAAAAAAATCGCAAGTTTCTTTTTTGTTTTGGATAAACAAAATATCTTTTTTCCTTTGCATTAAAATAACAGATAAAAAAAACGATATGATCCAATCTCAAACCCATTTGAATGTAGCAGATAACAGTGGAGCCCGAGAATTGATGTGTATTCGAATCATGGGGACTAGTAATCGACGATATGCTCATATTGGTGACGTTATTGTTGCTGTGATCAAGGAAGCAACACCAAATTCACCTCTAGAAAGATCCGAAGTAATAAGAGCTGTAATTGTACGTACTTGTAAAGAACTCAAACGCGATAACGGTATAATAATACGATATGATGATAATGCTGCAGTTGTTATTGATCAAGAAGGAAATCCAAAAGGAACTCGAATTTTTGGTGCAATCGCCCGGGAATTGAGACAGTTAAATTTTACTAAAATAGTTTCATTAGCACCCGAAGTATTATAAGATAAAAAATTATAAAGATAAAAAATTATAAGATATAAGATAAGACATATACTATTTATTATATAAGACATATACTATTTATTATATAGTTTAGTTTATTATATAGTTCTAGTTTTTTATTATATTATTATATAATTTTATTATATTATTATATAATTTAAATTTCATAATTTTTAATATTTAATAATTTAATTTATTATTATTTAATATATAGTTTATGTTTATTATTTTAATTTATTATTATTTATTATATAGTTATTTATATAGTTTATATAATTTATTTATATAGTTTATATAATTTATTTATATAGTTTATATAATTTATGTTTTATTATTTTTATTATATAGTTTATATAGTTATAGTATTTGAATAAAAATGAAATAGAATAAAATGAATTAGTAAATTGTGTTTCACGCATATACATATACCTTTAATAAAATAATTAATTCATAAAAAAAAAGAGTATGTTGATTATATCAAAACCAGAAAAAAATAATAATTTTAGTTTATCATGGGTAGGGATTCTATTGCTGAAATAATAACCTCTATACGAAATACTGACATGAATAGAAAAGGAACTGTTCGAATAGCATCTACTAATATCACCGAAAACATTATTAAAATACTTTTACGAGAAGGTTTTATTGAAAATGTCAGGAAACATCAGGAAGGCAACAAAAAATTTTTGGTCTTAACCCTACGACATAGAAGGAAGATGAAAGGGCCATATAGAACTAGTCTAAATTTAAAACGAATCAGCCGACCTAGTCTACGAATCTATCCTAACTATCAAAAAATTCCTAGAATTTTGGGCGGGATGGGGATTGTAATTCTTTCTACTTCTCGGGGTATAATGACAGACCGAGAAGCTCGACTAGAAAGAATCGGTGGAGAAATCTTGTGTTATATATGGTAATCTTTCTGATATCTGAATTGTATCCAGACTTCCTATTTGTTTTGTGAAAAAAAGAGAAAGAACAGATTTCTAATATCATTCCTCTCGCATTAGTTAATACTTCGATTAATACTTCGAGAGGATTTTGGATGGAATGAAAGAACAAAAATGGATTCGGGAAAGTTTAATTACTGAATCACTTTCAATAGTATGTTCCAAGCCCATTTAAGATCTGGTTTTAGGTTATGTTTCAGAAAAGATCCAACGTAGTCTTGTCTTGTTTTATACATATACTACTACCAAATATAGAAGTAAATCCACGACCATAGCGCATCTAATTTAGATACTCCGTAAGAAAGATTTGAATGCTGAATGATTCGGCAGTTTTTTTCAACTTTCAAATTCCTTTCACTTTCAAAAAAACTTATTTTCTTCAAAAAAGTATGTATATTCAAGGACGGAAAATATGAAAATAAGAGCTTCTGTTCGTAAAATTTGTGAAAAATGTCGACTGATACGTAGACGGGGACGAATTATAGTAATTTGCTTCAACCCAAGACATAAACAAAGACAAGGATAATCTTTCTAAGTGAAAACACTCTAAAGGATCCGATGTACAAATAACTAAAAATAAAGGATCTTTTTGACATGAAATGGATATATCCATAGACTTCTGACTTATGAGATGATAAAATATGGCAAAACCTTTACCAAGAATTGGTTCACGCAGAAATGGGCGTGTTGGCTCACGTAAGAATGCGCGTAAAATACCAAAAGGGGTTATTCATGTTCAAGCAAGTTTCAACAACACTATTGTGACCGTTACAGACGTACGGGGTCGAGTAATTTCTTGGTCCTCCGCTGGCACTTGCGGATTCAGGGGCACAAGAAGAGGCACGCCATTTGCTGCTCAAACCGCAGCAGGCAATGCTATTCGGACAGTAATGGATCAAGGTATGCAACAAGCAGAAGTGATGATAAAAGGCCCTGGTCTCGGACGAGATGCGGCATTAAGAGCTATTCGCAGAAGTGGTATACTATTAAGTTTCGTCCGGGATATAACCCCTATGCCACATAATGGCTGCAGGCCCCCTAAAAAAAGGCGTGTGTAAAAAAAAATATATTGAAGAGATTTCAAGAGAAATAAATAATTCAATGATTTCACAATATTATTATGGTTCGAGAGAAAGTAACAATATCTACTCGGACACTGCAGTGGAAATGTGTTGAATCAAGAACGGACAATAAACGTCTTTATTATGGACGCTTTATTCTATCTCCACTTATGAAAGGCCAAGCTGACACAATAGGCATTGCGATGCGAAGAGCTTTGCTTGGAGAAATAGAAGGAACATGTATCACACGTGCAAAATCTGAGAAAATACCACACGAATTTTCTACTATAGCAGGTATTCAAGAATCAATACATGAAATTTTAATGAATTTGAAAAATGTTGTATTGAAAAGCAATTTGTATGGAACTTGTGACGCGTCTATTTATGTCAAAGGTCCTGGATATGTAACTGCCCAAGACATCATCTTACCGCCTTTTGTGGAAATTATTGATAATACACAGCATATCGCTAGCCTAACGGAATCAATTGATTTGTGTATTGGATTACAAATCGAGAGGAATCGCGGCTATCGTATAAAACCGACAAATAACTTTCAGGACGGAAGTTATCCTATAGATGCTGTATTCATGCCTG